GTATCTCATTATGCTTTGGTTATTTAACAAGCGGGTGGTAAGAAGAGAAATTAATTGGCGTTTAACTAAAACTCACAAGAAATTTAGGAAGTTTAATGATGTTTTCAATGATTTAAAAGTGCCTGTCCCCATCACCACTACTTACGGTAAATCAAATATCTTATTACGGAAGGATTAAGGTCATTTTAAGTCACATCTAGCTACTTGGGGTGACAGAACCTTCCCTGAAGGCCTGGAAGCGTTCTTTGCCATTAGACTAGATTTTGACAAAAAGATTGGTCACAAAACCGTGCTAAAAGTTTCTGTTACGTGTTAGTGAACATGGCTACATGAAAGCAGATAATGCATTGTAGTGAAAAACTGGGGGAAAAAAGAGAAAACATATGAAAAAATCTACACTAGCAAGTACTCTGTCTTCTGGGTGTAGGCAAGGTGGTGAATGTGCCAAAGATACAAGGGAACGTGTCAACTGAAAGAAAATCAGCCTTAAAGTAGGTTAGTAAATGCTTTATTCATCGTCTTACTGAGGACTCTAGCCTGGGAGACAGCCTTCCAGATTGCTCCAAAGCTTGTTAGCTGCAGAAGATTATATTCACAAAACGGGAAAGAGGTATATATGCTCTCAAGCAGCTCTCCAAATAATATGTGTCATAAAGTATAATCTATTACCGTTGTTAAAATTAAGATTTACTGATTGCCACATGGACACGAGAAAGACCCTTAGGTCATCTTACCATGTTATGTTTCTATCACATCTGATGGTTTAAAATATTATGGGGGCGCCTGGGTGGCTCAGTCGGTTAAGCCTCTGACTTCGGCTCTGGTCATGATCTCCTGGTTCACGAGTTCGGGCCCCACATCAGGCTCTGTGCTGACAGCTCAGAGCCTGGAGTCTGCTTCAGATTCTGTGCCGCCCTCTCTCTCTGCCCCTCCCCTGCGCATGCTCTGTCTCTCTCTGTCTCTCAAAAATAAATAAACATTAAAAAAAATTTTTTTAATAATTCAAAAAAAATATTGCTTGTGTTAGGGGGCAGATTTCCTGTTCCCTTTAAGGGTCCTTCTAGCTGAACTAGGAATCAAATTGGCATGACACAGATTAACAGTGTATATATGGAGAATCTACATAGACATGGAAATTCCAAAGACAGTCGGGCAAAATGAAGTATATATGTCATTCTTTAGCAAGGAGAAGGGGGCAGCAGTCTGGGACTTTAGAGGAAAGGAGTGCACTTCTTCACAGGGCAGTAAGAAGAAACAAAGCTGTTTGGTAATTAGAAGTTTGCCCTGCCAGACAGATGGGTCACTCATATAAAATTTATCTTTGGAAATACCCATTATTCTGGGGAAGACCTCTAATTTAGATTCTTCTGTGTAATTAAAGGACAGGCAAACATTTCTCTTAATGAAGCCTGCAGGTTCTCGATTGTCTTCAGCTCAAAATAATCTTCACGCGAGAATGGGCCACTTGGGGGCGACCTGCCCTCTGACCCTACACTTGCAAGCCTCTGGTTAACCGGTTTTCTGGTTCTTCCTGGTTTTTATTCCTCCTTGAGGTCACCTGAGATGGTCACATTAGTTGGCTACTCAGTTTTAGTAGAGGTTTGGATGGTTTAGTGTCAGTAACGTAAGCTTTGGATTCTGATGATCCTTTGAATTCTGTCATTCTTATGAGCTGTGTGACCCACGACAAGCTACTTGTCCATCCAAGCCCCAGTTTTCTTATCTATAGATTGCGGGTAATAACTGTGGCAGTGACAATGAAACATGCTCACCATTTGCACCTTTAGGAATTATCATTTCCCAGCCTCCCTTGCAGTTAGATTTCAGGGGTCACACGACTGGCCATTCACTTTCAGTCTGACTCCTACGAACATCCTACCCAAATCTCCAGCTCATACAGTTCCCTTACTGCAGTCACTTGGAGACCGCACGTTCCATGGGGGGCTTGCTACAGGGATGAAAGAGAGTGGCCTAACCTGAATGTGATTTCACATGAGCATGAAATAAATGTTATTTTATGAGACACTGAGATTGAAGACATCTGGGAACAATACTAGGGGAAAATGGAATGTAGGTTGGATTTGTTAAACTGCCTGTAGACCACTATTGATCGGTATGGTGGAATTTTAGGTATGTGTTATATAGGATAATTGTAGTGAAAAAAGAGAATACTTACACAATCATTTAAGTGTAACAAATTACTGGAGTGCTTGGGTGGCTCGGTTAAGTGTCCGACTCTGGATGTCATCTTAGGTCATGATCTCATGGTTCATGAGATCAGACCCCTGTCTGTGCTGACAGCACAAAGCCTGCCTGGGATTCTCTCTGCCCTCTCTCCTCCTCCCACCTGCATGCCTATGTGCATTCTCTCTCTCTTTTTCTCTCTCTCTCTCAAAAATAAATAAACATTGACAAAAATTAAGAAAATAAATGTAACAAATTACTATTGATAGGAGTCACAGGATGTATTGCCCGAATATGCTGTTTTATTAACTCACTGACATTGAATAGAGTTGTTTTGTAGAGTTGCAGTCCCTGAAGTGGAACAGGGGTCCTTAAGACCAGACACACTGGAGTCAAAGAACAGAAGATAACATCTCCAGAACATGATCTCATTCTCCCCCAGTCACTGAATGCCACTCCACCCAGACCCTAATTTTTGCCTTTAAAAACCCTCACTTGTAAGTCGCCAGGCAGTTTGAGATCTTGAGCATTAGCTTCCTGTTCTCCTGGATGGCACCACATGAATAAATAGCCTCTGTTTCTTCATTGCCAAACTCAGTATGCATGGGGCACACAGACTCTGGTTTGGTTGCAAGATTGTAGTCCTCTCTCCTATTCTCCCTTTCTCCTCTTTTTTCTCCTTCTTCCCTCCCCTCTCCTCCCCTTACCTCTCCTGCCTCCCTCCTTCCCTCCCCCTTTCCTCCTCCCTCCCTCCCTTCCTCCCTTCCTCTCTTCCTTCCTTCCTTCCTTCCTTCCTTCCTCCCTCCCTCCCTTCCTCCCTTCCTCTCTTTTTTCCTCCCTCCCTTCCTCCCTTCTTCCCTCCCTCCCTCCCTCCCTCCCTCCTTCCCTCCCTTCCTCCCTTCCTTCCTCCCTCCCTTCCTTCCTTCCTTCCTCCCTCCCTCCCTTCCTCCCTTCCTCTCTTTCTTCCTCCCTCCCTTCCTTCCTTCCTTCCCTCCTCCTTTCCTTCTCTCCTGATACTAAACACAACCTAGCATATCCTGATTAATGCAAACTTCACACCTCCTTCACACAGTTGTAAGGATTGAACATCAAGGATACTGGGGGCATAGAGACACACAATAAGCCTAATACATTTATTAATATTTTGTATCACCCAAACTCATTGTATTAGGGATAAAAATGTCGGGGCTTAAAGGAGTTAAGTGATTTACCACAACCACCTAATTTTGAATATAGCTAAAAATTTCCAATTTAGGGTTCTTCAAAATATATTGCAATTTGCACTGAAATCAGAGGCTCGCTTCAGTGAAAGAGACATTTAGATACGTTGGATCTGTTGAATGTGAGGTTAGTCTATTCAAATGACAACTGATGGGGTGCGTGGGTGGTTCAGTCAGTTGAGTGTCTGAACTCTCAGTTTTAGTTCAGGTCATGATCACAGGGTCCTGGAGTCAGGCCCTGCACTGGGCTCCCCACTGAGCACAGAGCCAGCTAAGGATTCTCTCTCCTCAGCTCCTCCCCCATTTGGTCTCTCTCTCAAATAAAATTTTTAAAAATAATAAAATGACAACTGAGTTTATTTCAAGAAAGTAGCCAACATGTTAAAATTTTAGTGATAACCAGTGTTGATCTCAAGTTTGTAATTGTTGGGTGGTACTTATTAGTAATTTAGCTGACTAACTCTATATCCACTTATGGAAGTTTTCACGTTTTTGAGGAGAGGAGTCGTTCTTTCTCTAATTTTGTTTTTAACTTTAAATTTCTTTCAGTGAACATTCTGGAAGTAGTAATGACCTACTTAAAAAAAAAAAGTGACCTTTTAAGAGAAATTCCCAGGAAACATGTTACTTTAGAATGGCATATTAATTAATATGTGTTAATTAATAAATATGTAGGGGAGCAAATTTTGCCACCCCCAGATATCCCCGTTTGGTATATTGGTTATTTTAGGCTGGTTATTTTTAAGAAACTTCAAATGTAGGTGAAGCTCTGAAATCCAAGTGAAAGTTATCTTTTTGTAAAGATAAATTTACATACATAAGGGAAATCTCCATTTGTAAGCCTGTCTGCTTTGCTGTACAAGGAAGAGGGGGGAATAATTCTAACTCTCTAGAAAGACTTAACAATGGAAAAGACAACTACTTAAGTCTGCATAACAACCTTACCTTTGTTTACTGTGCTTTTCCTCAACACCTCCCATAACTGACTCCCCACACCCAATATCTGCTTTTGTCTTTGGCTGAGGATGGCATTTAAGGTGATGTCTTTGGCCATTTGGGGAATTACTCAGTTTTTCTGGGTCTCCCTCTCCACCATGCAGGAGGTATGTATGTTATTGATCTTTTGTTTGATTTTCTCCTGTGAATCTGTCCCGTGTCAATTTGATTCTTAGACCGGCTAGAAACACTTCTAAGGGTAGACAAGAAATTTTCCTCCCCAACACTCTTACAAATGGAGATTTCCCAAATGTAAATATTTCTTACAAAAGGGTAACTTCTACTTGCATTTCGGAGCTTCTCCTGTGTTTGTAGTTCCTTAAAAATAGTCAGCTTGAAATAATCACCATGCCAAGAGGCATATCTTGGGGTGGCGATATTTGCTGTCTTACAAATACAGTAATGACTATAAATATTTTTTACTTCAAGCATTTTTCTAGTGTTTTTATAAATTACTACAATTAAACAATGATTTTGAGTTAGATTTTTTTTTTTTCTCCTGTTGGTAGCTTTTCATTGTGAGTCAATATGGGGTGATGATTCTGCTTGTGGATTTGGCTTCTGTAACAATGGATTCTCTCCATAGAGAATGCCCATTGGGAGACATTCATATCCAGTTCCCAACTAATGATTTTGTAATGGAATAATCGTGAGTCTGCTCCTTGGTAAGTTACAGGTAAATTACTCGAGCATTGTCATAAAGAAACTTTATTTGCAGCAAGTAAGGAGATGACAGAGAATAACTTCCAAAGCCATGACTCCCTGAGCAGGGATGAGTGTTTTTCTTTTTTTTAAGGTTTTTTTTTTTTTTTAACATATATTTATTTTTGAGAGAGAGAACACCAAGCGGAGGAGGGGCAGAGAGAGAGAGAGAGAGAGATAGAGAAAGAGAGAGAGAGAGAGAGAGACAGAATCTGATGAAGGCTCCAGACTCTAAGCTGTCAGCACAGAGCCCGAGGTGGGGATCGAATTCACTAACCACAAGATCATGACCTGAGCAGAAGTCAGACCCTCAATGACTGCTGCCCGGGTGCCCCTGGGTTCTTTTTATTTAGAGTGAGAATGAATATTCAGAAAGAGGAGCTTTGTCTTACATGTAAAAGTGGGCATAAAGTTGCACAGCCTTACTGAGGAAACACGCCTAAGTATGTATTCTATGTATATTAATGAAGTTGTACTCATCTTTCAGGTGGAGACTTTCACATTATAATGGAACAGAAGTAACTGTTGGACAAGGGGAAGGTAGTATGGGCATGATCTGAGAGCCAGAGCTCACCTAAACTGGTTGGGGTCTTGGGGGCTCACTACTCGGGTAGGGAAAGCAAGGCCTTGCTTACTTTTGATATAGCACAGGGAGTTTTACCACTGATTTATTGTCTCCAATGTGGTTAAGCTATTTCCTGGCCTCAGAGACTGTTAGTTTTTGCATTCCCTTTGTTCCCTTAAAACCCTTGACCGCTAAGGTTTTTGCATTTCTTTGTAATTCTGATACCTTTTGGAAAGTTCCGTAGGATGTGCATACATCAAGGAAGTAGGGCATAGATCAAATAGCTGGGGGCCTAAAACCGACTTCTCTTGTGGCCGGAAAGCTTTGTCTCATTTTTCTTTTTCTGGGGACCCCTAACTCTTTCTGCCTACAATTCTATTATTTTGCTACTCAGGCTAAGTATGCTAGTTTGTATAAAGAGCTTATAGAACGGTTTTCAGGGTCTTATTGTTGCAGGATTTTTTTACTTCCATATCCAAGGTTTGTTGTCTCCATGCTTTGAAGAATGCAGAGGTGAACACAAAATAAAATGAGCCACAGGCCAAAGTTTATTAGAGGAGAAGATCAGTAAGAAAGAAAAGTATGAAAGCTGTCTTTACAGAGAGGGGGCATTCAAAAGTAAATGGCCAGGACTTTAGGCTATGAGCTTTGTTTTATAGAGTTTTGGTAGGCTTCCTTCCCTCCCCCTTGTTCCTTCTCAGGTTCCACTCTCATTGGCTAGGTACCTCTAAATGCGTAGTCATTCCTTTTTTTGATTGGCTCATTTTTATCATATGAGGGATGGTTTATGGCCATACCCTTCCTATGGGTCCTACATCTTATGGCCGACTAGTAATTTTTAGTCAGGTCTCCGTTGGTCAAATTGCTGAGGAAAACCTGAGGGGAGTAGGCGGTGTCTGTTGCATTCTTAAGAGGAACTTTATGCTTGAGGGAGTTTGCTCCAGGTCAGACATTCCCAGAAGAAATGTTTTAAAATATGTGTTTTTCCTCCACCCCGGTTCTTTTAAGCCCCGGACTCTTCTTTTCTGCCTACTGAATCCTATCTTTCCCTATCATACTATTTTGAAAATAGCATCAGCGTAATTTTCCGCACAGTGTGGTGGTTCAGAGTATGGGCTTTGGAGCCCAGGGAGTGTAGTACATACAGCTTTACATCCCACTAACTTTGTGATCTTAGGCAAGTTACTTGGTTTTTTTGAACCTCAGTTTTCTCATCTGTAAAATGAGAAGAAACTGTAATGCCCGAAGTTCCGAAACCTCCCACAAAAGTCCACCAGAGTCGTGAGTCAAAGCCAAGCGGCAAGGGTCGTTTATTGCAGGTTCGAACCTGGTCCCCTGCGCACTCGTCGCCGGTGATGCAAGAGGCCTTGATCAGGGTTGGTACAGCGTTTTTATAGACAGAGACAAATAGCACAGGGGAGGTTTCAAATTATGAGGGGCCTGATTAGTTGATTTTAAAGTAAGGACATTTGTTGTTCTCTGATTGGGCGTCCTTTGTCTGTCCTTTGGCGGGAAGGCTTTGTCCCTTACTTGTGGCGGGAGGAAAAAGGGGGAAGGGGGAAGAGGGTAGGGTAGGTGGGGAATGTGCTTAAGCAAGCAGGTTTACAGAAGCGAGAAATGCCGGTTACTTTATGTACAATTACTCATTCCATTACCTATCAGACTACATTTAGGAAGGTTTACAACCCATTCTACTACACAGCGGGTTACATTCAGGAAGGGCTTCACAATGCTCGTAGCAAACAGCAAGCAAAACAGACTTCTCAGCAATTGTATTTCTTATCAAAGATCCATAATAAGCAGAAAAGAGAACCTAGCTTTAAACTAAGGCAGGGCTGTCATTTGGATTGTTCCTTTCAGAAACCCTACCTCAAAGGATGTTACAAAGTTAAATGTGGCATGAAATATAAAATTCAGTGAATAAATAATAATTATTACCAAATAACTATTAACATAATCTTAGAAACCAACCTGAAGAAATATACAGAGGGTAAATCTTTGGTGTGGAGTAATTCCTCATCCTATTTATAGGATTTGAAAAATTTTAAACAATCTAAGTGTGATTAAAGACAATTACAAGATATCCGTACAACGAAGTTTATGGAGTATTTTTGTTAATATCAGTAAGAAATGCTTTGAATGCTTTTAGCATGTGAATATTCAGTAGGTCATTTTAATGATTTATGCACCTGGGTGGCTCGGTTGATAAGGCTCAATTTGGCTCACTTCGTGATCTCCCTGTTAGTGAGTTCAAGCCCCGAGTCAGGCTCTGTGCTGACAGCTCGGAGCCTGGAGCCTGCTTCCGATTCTGTGTCTCCCTCTCTCTCTGCCCCTCCCCCACTCATACCCTGTCTCTCTTTCTCTCTGTCTCTCAAAAATAAATAAACATTAAAAATTAAAAAAAAAAAGAAACAAATAAATAAACATTAAAAATTAAAAAAAAAAAGAAACATTAAAAAAATTATTTGCCCTAATCCCCCACATAGCACACAAACAGTGTTCTGTTGAGTCTTTGAAGAGAAAACATTGCCTTTCATATAATTTGCCTGCACCTCTGCCTTCCTGTTTCAGCTGCTGCTTTGCGATCTGTTTTGGCTGTGGCTGGCAGGCATTTTTCCTTATGAATGACTCTTGCATCTCTCCATAGCCATCCCTCCGCATCTATTCCTGGCTTGAACTGCCAGCGTGGTGGCACAGATCCACTTTTGACCTCTAACATCCTCTGAGGCTCTCGCCCTTGCTGTGCTTTGAGCCCAGTATCCCCTGCTACTGATCTCAGCTATTGATATCATCTGCACCCTTCACTAGGCTGGCCTGCTACTCAGCTATACCAAAACAGGTATGACTGTTTTGTATCTGACAGTGTTTATCTTTCCTACTGACCTACAGGGAGATCCCTGCCCCTTCTTGTGGCTTCTTCTAAATTTTACATGTGGGGGTGGGCGAGTGGGAGTTGGGAAACCTGTTAGGTCCCTAGAAATCCACTCTTGCCATTGAGCCACACAGCCTCTCCATCACTGAGTACATGAGGTTGTCAGGGGCTTAATCACTACCTGTCTGCCCAAGCCCTGTTGGTGATTCTTGCTCAGATTCCATTCTCTTTTGTCATGACTTTGTTTTCCCTTTTCAGGTCATTTCCTGCCAACCTGGCTTGCACAGGACCATCCCATTTATCAGCTATGCTGCTATATGTTTGAAACTGCTGCATGTTTGAACTTCTCAGTTGAGAACACAGAATGAATTATTCCTGGATCCTGATTCCATGGAGATAGGGAACTTTGCTCCAAGAGCAAGTGATCAACTCTGATCAAGTGGAAATCCTTGCTTAGGTCATAATGCAAAATTTAAAAAGCAGGAAAATCTTATAAATAGAAGATGACCTAATTCTGTTAAAACCAAACTTACTGGCATGAGAATCACTACACGAAAAAATCAAAACGTCTGTAATGTCAATATTTGGATGACATGACTATAGATTTGTTTTCAAATCTCTAAATTTCTACTACAAATTTCATGGTTTTTTTTTAATTGAAAAATGACACAATTTAAGAAATTGTTGCAAAGAAATAATCCAGAGGTTAACGTCAAATTTATTTAAAGTACAGCTGAACTTTAATTTTCTTTTGTGGGGCACCTGGGCAGCTCAGTTGGTTAAGGGTCTGACTCTCGATTTTGGCTCAAGTCATGATCTCATGGCTCCTGAGTTTCAGCCCCATGTCGGCTCTGTCAGCACAAAGCCTGCTTGGGATTCTCTCTCCCCCTCTCTCTCTCTCTGCCCCTCCCTCTTTTCTCTCCCTCAAAAATAAATAAATAAATTTTTAAAAATAAATAAAATAAAATCATCTTTAAAAAGTACAGTTTAAAATCAATCAATCAATCAATCAATAATATTCTTTTGTGATTTTACCTTGCTAAAAGAAACAGGAATTTATTTGGCTGAGTCTAGAAGCACTTATTCTCACTTCAAGCCCTTTAAGACAGCTTTACCTTGCCTTCTTCAGCTCTTTGTTTTCTTATCTTTATCTGTACTGATATTTGTGCCTGTGTGTATGTTTATCTCTATCTATCTATTATTCCCATATTCCCATCTATAGCAGATACTGCTAGTGCCCTGCCCCCTCTCGATATTCACCTTCCCCACACAGGCCAACTCTCAGGTTTCCAACCGCCAACATCTGTAACTCTTTGCCTGAAGGCTTCCTTTGGAGACAGGAGCCTGCATAGGAGACACACTGGTAGTTACTGGAATTAGCAGGCACCTCCCTCCCCAGTAGCCCCCAACCATGACAGGAATTGATAATTGAATGCTCCCCACATCCTTGTCCCATGGGGATGAGGGACAGTATGAGGCATGCTCTCCACTGTCTCCCAGAGTCTCCGGCAGGACTGAGTCCCACAGTGGTAATCTGCCTGGTAACACACCCTTTATTGGCTGCATATCATTTGCTGCTTTGCCTCCCCACTTTCCTATTGGTGCTTCCAAGGATCACTTCCCCAATATACAACTTTCACTCAAATCGTTCTCTCAGGGTCTGTTTCTGGGTAAATCTATCCTAATAAGATACTCACATTCATATCCATTTCCTGTAGTTCATAAGAAAATGGCTTATGGGTTATAGCTGCCTCTGAGCTAAGCCTGAGCTCAAAATGTGGCAAGACGCTGACAAAAGTAGCAGAATCTTAGGCAGCAATGCTGGAACAATGGTTAAAGTGAATCAAAGTATTAGTGCAGTACTATGTCTAGTTCTGGATGCAACATTTTTTAAAGGATACGCAACAATTGGAATTATCACCATGGCCTGATTAGGAGGTTAGGAACCTAATGATAAAGATAACAGTTAAAGGAAGTGAAGCTATTTGGCTTGGAGAATAAACTACTAACTAATGGCATAATCACTATTCAATGGTTGAAGGGGTGTCATGGACACAGTGCACTAAATTTATTCAATGTCTTCCAGGGGCGGAACTCTGGGCAAGAGTAAAAGAAAAGCAAAATTTGGGTTCAGGGAAACAAAACCTTTTCTAATCATTGGAGTTTTCCCTTTTCGAATGCAAGATCCTAGTCCCTGGAAATACTTCAGCAGAGGGCAAAACTCACCCGAATCCATCCCATTCCTTAAAATAAACCCAGGCCACACATGTATGCCTCCTTAGTCCCACTGAGAGTGCATTTCTCTGTCACCAGCAGTTTGGTTGTTTGAATGTCATCAGACTATCAGCCTTCCACACGCCTTGCTGCTTCTACCCCCTTGTTTTCCTGGTCCTCCAATACCTTCATCCCGGATTTGTGTCTTAGTTCTGTTCTCTGGCTAGCTTCCTGGGTTAACGTCGCTCACCTAGTGTGTGGGGCTATCTGCTCTCTCTTTGTACAAGTGCAGGTAGTAGGCCTTGTACCCCAGCCCCTCCCTCCACCTGTCCCACCCTCGCCAGAAGTGACTCCTCACCTGCCTCTGACACAGCAAGAGGAACAGGACACAGAGAAATAGAGTTGAAAATGGGGTGATAGCTTATTTTAAATGACTTCTAAATTTACTTCCAACTCAATAATTCTATGATTCTTTTCCTTTTCAGTGTTTGTTATGCTCATTCTTAAGCTGCTTCTTCTTCTTCTTCTTCTTCTTCTTCTTCTTCTTCATCTTATTAATCTATGAGCCTTGTTTCCCAAGCTACCATGAGAAAAATCAAGCCAGTTTCTGGTTTAATAGCGTCATTACTTCAACTCCCTAAACTGGGCTCTCCCTTTCTCCCATGTTCCCCGCAAGCCCCGGTGGCTAGTTTTGCCTTTCACCTTGTCTAAAGATATGTCCTTCTGTAAAGAAGGAACCTCCAGACCATGCTTTCCCTTTGGATGATGGGCGCCCTGCTTCAGCAGTCTTATGTTACCAGCAGCTCTCCTGCAGAGGACGCTGTTCCTCACACCTATTGTTGCTTTGCCAGACCTCTGGCCGGGCTCGATGGTCACCGAGTGTTGCCATGCTCTTGCGCAAGAAAGGCAGACCTTCTGCCCAGTGGGACAGCTCTTTTTGATGCCAAAAGGAGAGCTTGTTCTTCATGATGAAAACATGTGTTGTTCCAGTTGGCAGAGTTAGGATCAGTAGGTGGAAATATAAAGCTCTGGACCCCATAAGGCTCTTGGAATAAATCTTCAGAGAACTAAGCTGGGAAAACTACACGGTGTTACAACACTCATTTCCTTTTTTCGACATTTACTGAGTGTCTGCTTTGCCCTAAAGTCTCACAAATTAGAAAGAAGAAAATGGATCTCAAACAAAAAGGAACTTAGAATCTATTAAGGGAAAGAGACATGCAAACCATAATGTAGTCGGATGGGAGTAAAATGCTGTGGGAATGAGAAAGGGGGACCAGCCCCTACATACTCGCCTGAGCTCTAGAGAGGAACATGAACTCACAGGCTCTGTGCTGGCTTGGGACAGAGCTCAAATCCCTGATGGGCCACTTGCTAGCTGAGAGACTCTGGGCAAGTTACTTCAGTATTCTAAAATATCCCTGTAGCAGTGGTACTGGGACGATTAAATGAGAATGTAAAGAACCTAGCAAAATGTCTGGCACAGAGTAAGTGGATGAACATGTTGTTTCCCTTCTCTGTGATTCCCTCTCAAAATAGTCTCTGGGAAATTATCGGGGTAGTTATTCACACATCATTTGTGCTATCTGGAGCCCAGACCCAACTGCTTCAAATGTCTTCCTTATGGTGAAGTTTCTGGACTCTCTAAAAGGAGGTCCTTATGACCTAACAGGCAATCTAAGGGTATCTTTGGACAACACACCTGAAACTTTTTCTTTTTTCTTCTTCTCCTCCCCCTCGTCCTCCTCTTCCTCCTCCTCTTCCTCCTCCTCACCCTCCTCCTCTTCCTTCTTCTTCTTCTCCTTCTCCTTCTCCTTCTTCATCTTTTGTTTCTCATTCTCTGTCCTATGACTTTTCTCTCTGAGACATCAAGCTCCCATTTCATGATTTCTCATTCTATTTTCAAGATACAGTGAAGAACCTCCCTGGTGTCTCAGCCCCTGATTCTGGAGAATCTAAATACATCGCAGTCTCATGAATGTGATCCTTGTACCATCATCGCTCTCCCCTTGGACAACACTTGGTAGATACTTTACCTTGCAGGTATCTTACAGCAGAAGATGTGAATAACAGGGGCTTACTTGTTTTGAAGACCAGTGAAGTCTCTATTGAAATAAAAGGGAATAGAACTTGAAATGTAAGGGGACAGAGGAAGGTATCACCAAAGTAAGAAACCAGGTCCTCTAGAGTGTGAGTCTTGTGGGGCACAAATGAAACAAAGATGCAGCTTTCATATGCCTCTGTTTCCAGAGCTCTGCTAGAGATCCAAGAGTCTGTCAAGTCTCACAATTCTATCAAAAAATGCAAGACAATGTCTGCCATAGCACTGAATATTCAAATTCTGGATTTAATTTTCAAATCTAGAGTTTCAGGTCCCTCCCACCTTCCACATCATCAAACTGTACTCTTCTCTATCACCCACCTGGCCTGTAGGTCTTGCATGATGTTCTCTAACTTTCATCTGGCAGACATGTTGTGAGCAAAATCAGACCATCGTAATTGTTTTTTGTACCAGTCTATTTCTCTTATTGTACCTCTTACAAAGTATGGAGAAGGAATGCACACATTTAATAAATAGAAAATATTTATTATACAGCATTATCAAGGTTATTTGACAAAGGCAGTAATGAGCCAAAGGAAAACACTTTTACAAGAAGCTAAACAACGTGTATAAGCACGTACATCAAGATGAAAAGTATCTGCATTTTTGGTATAAGGTATGTCTGTGTACATTTCCAATTTTGAACAATTATGCTGTAAGAGCTAATACTGCATTGTGTTCAGGAAAACATTTAATCATGGTAATATTAGGCATTCAGAGAAATAAAGTGATTGGTGTTGAATGTGTTCACCAAATGTTTCAGACTAAAACCTCAGAACAAACCGACATCTTACATTATTTGAATAGTAGAGCAGTTTTCCTGATCTATACTTGCTTTTAAAAAATCTGAATGCACAAGTCCTGTGATATCACAAGTCCTGTGATATCAATGCCACATATGTTAGTGGCATTAAGATATAAAACATGTTTCACGAATAATAGATAGTAGGCTTTTACTTGCTAGTTTGCCAGGAAGTAGACCATCTATTAAGCATGGGAACCATCTAATTCCCTCATTCTCCTTCATTACAGTGAAAACATGGAATTGAAATCCTCGTTTCCGTCATTTTTCAACATGGAATTGAAATCCTTGTTCAGTCATTAACACCAAAGGTGTTACAAAATAATTTTTTAAAAGAAAGGCGGTCCATTCTTGTTATGGAACCGACTAAACTCGGCAGTGGAGTATGGGAAGGCATGAGAAACATGAGCCTCAAACATCGGAGCTGATGTTAAATTCTGAACAAATGATGAGGCGGGTATTTAAAGATTCTAAGATGATTTTTGGCTGAGAAATCAGCTTCCAAATGAAGGAAGCATATTAAAATATGACTGCACATAAGCATAAACAGATATTTAAAGGGGTAAGATCCATTCCACAAATAATAGAAGAAATCAAAATGGCGAGAAGAGTCACTTTTATTGGGTGTAAAAAGGAGGATATAAATGAAATGACTGGATGACACATACGTGGTTATTACACACAGTACACAACAAAAATATAAAGAAAAGGGATGACAGCAAAAATAGAGGAATAAAAGTACATGGAAATAAAAATTAAAAGAAAGCAAAAAATGGTAAATAGAAAACTGGGGAAATTATGCCAGACAGAGAGGTTAGCATATGCTTTATAAACACTGAAAGCTCAAGTCGCTGTGGAAAATCTCTTTAAAAAAATCTAAAGTGACCTGAAATCATCTCAATACTGTCATTTCAACCTTATGTTTTAATAATGATATCTGAAAATTTATAAAATGTACTTTTTTATTGTAACCCACAGTTTTTGTGAATTTTTAATACAACACATTTTCAAGCCACTTCGTTATAACATATCCACATCATAAAATATCTGAAAAAGAAGTTCCCTTTTAGAAGAGGGAGGACCATCTGAGCAGCATAAGGAAACCATTGGACCACAGCACTCAAACCATCAAAGAGCTTCTGCAGATATTGGTGACAATACCTAAAACATCATTGGAACAAAGAAATATCTATACTATATTGGAAAGACAACTTCTAGTTGCAGTTACATTGACATTACAGTGCACAAATTTTATTATCACAAGTATACAAAGACACAGGAACACATTTACTCACAAGTTACAGGAATTATTTGTCAGTAGGAAGGATGACAATAGGAAGGACGTTATTTGTCATTGAACCAGCAAGAGTTGCTCTGAGTACACCCTTAAGTTGGAAGATGGATTTGTGTCTGTAGTACACAGGAGAAACAACGGCACCAAATACACATACAGCATTTTAGAAGTTCAACTGGTAAGTATTATTTGCTACAGTAAATGTAAGGTAACAATTTTGCCACATGGTTTGTTCTCTTTAATTAAAGGGCAGAGAAGAGCCCCCTTGGCACAAACACAAGAAAATCCGCAAGACACCTTCTGCCAGTCTCAAAACAATCGCTTGCTCTAATCTTTTCTCCGAAATCACCAATAAGCGAGTATCAAATATGGGACGTTATTTGTGCTGATTGTGTTCAAAGCCTCATGCTTATGTGTCCTCTTGCTTCTCAATCCTTCCTCCCTTAGCACTCCTGATGAAGCACTTTTTGGTGATGATTTTGCTCTGATTCCTGTTTTCCTAAATAGAGAGAAATCACAGAGCAGTAGGGTATCCATACACTTTTTTCCCAGCGCCACAAGGCTGGCCCTGGGTCGGGTGCAATGGGTGAAGGGAGGCTCCTGAAGACCAGGAGTCTGTGGGCTCAGTAAGGAGAAGGGCTGGAGAAAAATGAGCTGCCGTCCCATGGCAGCCACCATGGGTGGTTCCATGCCTGCCCCTCCTTCACCCACCTGCTCTGTCTGGCTCCAGCCTGCTCACTAAGAGTACCACGAACACCATGATGTAGTAGTGGTCCACACTACTGGTCCACATGTGCTGGACGATTCACCTGGCTGGTCCACATGTGCTGTCTCTTTTCAAGCTGGCCAAGTGTGTGTGGGCATGTCTATCTATGCACAATGTCCAAAAGAGGAGATTATTCGTGTTGATGTATTTATTTATTGACTTATTATTTATTTATTCATTCATTTATGTGGTGAAAGTTGTTTATTTTATGGGATTGTGCTTTGTCAGAATTCCCTTTCTTCCCAGAGAAGGCTTTTGAATAATTCAAGAATCGGGATCCTCGCCTGGATCCCTTTTTGCCTGCAGAGCTCAGTTCCCTCTGGCCTTCCCTACGGCAGCAGCATTGTCCTCCTTGCCTGCTGACTTCACCCTCCTCCCCCCATCTCCTCCTCCCAGCCGTCGGCGCATCTCCGGAGGTGCTGGTGCTCCCTGGTTTTTCTCGCTGTCCCCGCGGACACCTCCTCCCTACAGGGTGGAGGAGCTTTGCTTGTAGTCCCTCAGAATGACGGAGGCGTAGGTCACGTTGGGAGGGGTGCAGAGCACCGACTCGGACACGGGGGAGCTGGGCACCGAGCTGCCGGAGGCCACCGAGTCGCGGAAAGGCGACGGAGGCGTCAGAGCAGGTGAATCCTCGGGGAGGGGTTTGCTGGCCGCCTGCAGGTCCTCGTCTTCCTCCTCCAGCTCGTCTTCCTCGGTGTTCCCTTCCCGCTCGTACAAGTACTCCTGGAGGAGCTTAAACCTCTCGCTGTCGTCCTCATCCTCGTCTTCTGCCGGCGGGGAGGCGGGCTCCTCCCCGAAGGTGCTCAGCTGCAGCGGGAGCATTTGCAGGTGCTGCGGGGGCGCCGGGGGCGGGTACAGCGAGCGCACCCCGTTCCCCGGACCCCCGGGGACTGCGAGCACCGCGTTGAAATCGGGGATCCCGGTGCTGAAATTATTGACCACTCCCTGTAGCTGGTCCATCAGGGATTTCTGCGGTGGCGGTGGCTGCTGGAGGGGAGGGGGCAAGCCCTTGGGGACGGCCGGGTCGGCCAGGAAGAGGGGGGTCTCCTCTGTGGTCAGGTGGGGCGGCAGAGGCGGGGTGCTCACCGCGGTTGGCACACGTCGGTGCACCACCATGGAAGGACTGTTGGGAGGGCTGAAGCCGACCGGCTGGGCATCCTCCTCCTCCACGTTGTAAAGGGTCTTGGTGCTGGTATCGGAAAAGGTCAGGCTCTTGCCAGAGCCCTGGTAACTTTTAGTGAGGGGCTTGATGACGGCTGTTTGGTTGCAGGCCGTCTCATTGGTCTTCACGTGGACAGAGAGGCGGTGCCACATGTGCTGTCCCTTGGGCACCTGTCTTCCACCTGGTTCAGACCATGACACAGACTTGCCATTAGAACTATGAACAAAATAGAGATGGGTTTATTTGCAGGTATATCATGCACACAGGATAAGACACATACAAATTATACGCAATCCCAGCTCAAGGCAATTTGATTCCCCCCACCCCCACCCCGCTCCCGGGAGCGACTGTAGGTCTGGCGGCCAAGCCCTCAATCTCCCCTTATTACAGGTCAAAGGCCAAAAGCTGCAGCGACCCCAGGTGGCCTCTGTAGCTGCAGTCAGTGATTCCATTCACCCCAAGACAAGGCAGAACATTTTGCCCCTGAACAAGTTGTAGGGGAGAAAAGCCAGCCTGTTACACAAGCAGCTATTTTCATTTAGGTCTGAGATTTCACCAAGTTATTATACACCCACGCACAACGCACACGCCTAAGGTAACAACAAAATTGTCACTCTGTGCAAGCCTTTGAAAGATTCCAAAATTGATGGAGGAACCAAAAAATAAAACTACAGTTACACAGGGACAACAGAATATAACGACCATAGCTCTTGCCGCCCTTTCTTCTCAGTCCCTGGAACAAATTAAAGCTTTTCTCATCGTGTGCAGGTACCGGAGCAGCGTGGTCATACACACGGCAGCTGTACGGAGGAGAAGAAAGCAGATGACGGAAAACCCAGACCCACATTCCATTTAAGTGTGCCACAAGTGTTGCTTTTCTTTTTGTTTCAACGCACCATCCCCGACACTTACAATGGACCGCAATTCACATAAAGGCCCTGATTCACAGCGGCTGGTTTGGGATTTCCACACTGGGGATTTTTAACTAGGTAGTGTTAAGGAAGTCCAGCAAAATACAGATGGTTAGACCCTGGGTTAGTCCTTCAGCATAGTTTGTGATGCAAATGAGACGAAAGGAAGATTCAGAGAAAGCAGAAGTTACTGAGACAAAAGCC